TTGATTGTTCCAATGGTACCCACTCTGATAGCTTCAAGTTCACTCTGTATCTATAAAAAAATATGAGATTTCCCCCATTACATTGTTTGAACAAGAGGGACCTGATTGGGACTTGTTAAAGCAAATATAATATGCTTTTTCCTATAATATTTTTCATATATGATTTGTAATTTTCAGAGTTCCTAGTTTCACTGTGACTGTACTTATGTTTTTGCTTATACAATGACGAAGGTAATCTGTGATTATTAATTTGTAGATTTTGTGGATTTTGTGATTGAAGAACAACAATTGGTTGTGGCTGTGCATAATATCTCAGGTTAGGACCTGTTGAATTTTTTTTGCTAAACTTTGAAGTAATTGGATATCTTACTTTGATGACTTGGAAGGACATAAATTTTTTGTGAAGATGATAATACGGTAATTGTGTTCAATTAGGATTGAATTGGATTTCTCTTTTGGTGTGCCATACAATCTATGTTTTTGCAGGTTAAATCACTGATGTTGCTACAATTTTTTTTTATCATTTTTGTTGTAATTTTTTTTTAATCATTTTTATTGAAATTAGGGTTTCCATTTTAATTCAAATCATTGATAATTGAAATGCTCGTGCTTTTGTAGGTAATGGAACAATATTGTTAATGAGTTGGACAATTATTGTTGGAAGCTGAAATTGGAGATGTTGCTCCCACGTTCTTCTAGGAGTTGATTCGAGATTCTAGTGTTCATTTTTGAAGGTGACGTAGATGAAGGTCCTTCAAATGATGCAATGATGCGACGAAAGATACAATGTTTTGGTTTAGTTAGATGTTATTTTAGTTTGATGTTGTTTTGATGATTTCAGCCTTATGTTCAAACTAAAAGCCTTGATATGAACAATTAATTGATTGAATGTTAATTGATTTCAGCCTTGTTATGTTAATTGACAAAATGTTTTGGTTTAATTGCCTTGATGTTAATTTCATTCAATCTTGTGTTAATTGTTTTGGTGCTATGAATTTGTATGTATAGATGAAGTGTACAGATGCACAGTTGAGAATCAATCTGCAGATCATGTACTTCTCGTCTGTAACATTTTGCAATATTGAATTTGTGTTGAGCTAGTCCCCGCAATCTTTAGGGATTGGTGGCTTAATGGTTTGGACTAAAAGATAAGAGTTTGAGAAGACAATCTGGGAATTATTGTTCTACTAAGTTTTATGAAGCCTATGGTTATCAAAGAATGAAGTAGTTTTTAACAATAACGTGATCCCTTTGATTGATTTACTGGAGCTAATTAGAGTCAATGTGTTTTGTGTGTCTTCTCTCACTACCCTCTCAGTTTGTGCATTGCAATGTCTATTGTTGTTAATAAACTACTCTTTTTTTTATGTTTAAAAAAATGTATAAATTTATGGGGGAATAAAATAATGAAATTGCTTAGTTGGGTTGGCTTGTTGTGTGAGAAGTTTGTATTCTCTCTACCTCACTGTGGGTGTGGTGATGGCAGTGGGAAACACCTTAGGAAGAGACTTGGTTTGCCCTAAAAAATTTAAAAAAAAAATTTGAAAGAGGTAAAACGATGCCTTTTTTAGGCACTGCAGGGCATAGCAGGGAATAATTACAGCAGTGACCGCTCCTCTGGTTGTTTTTATGGCATTCCCATCTATGTATTTGGACAATCATGGAAAAGACTTAATATTTGTCAAGATGGCAAGAACAACACTAACATACATTCCCAACCATTTCAATAATAGCAACCATTTCAACAATTTTCAGAAGTTCTACATTCCCAACCATTCCAAAAATCAAACGAGTCAATTACAAAATTGAAACATATTTACTTCTTCATAATTAAAATAATAGCAATTACAAGCTTTACTTCTTCATATTTCGTCATCTCTTCCTATAACAGGATCAAGCTTTCCTTCTCTTGCCATAGCAGTCAAATCCTTTCCATATTTCTCCAGTGCTTCATACTTCCCTTCAGGATCTGTACCAAAATTATAAATTGAGAATTCCTTAATACACAAGTGAATTAGTGCACCAATGTGATATTAATGACATAAACTTGCTAGAGAACCAAGTGAAGTGTCCTGTCATTTCATAAAGCATCTTAATAAGAGCATCAAATCTTAGACATGAAAAGAAGCTCGACAACAATCAAACTAAGGAAAACATAATCCTTCTCTAAGTACAAGAAACCGGTGAAGATCCAAAGGTGCATCAAAGCAAAGTTCAAGACAGAAGGTCCAAATTATTAAAACATGGAATCATTTACAAAGGAACTGGAGGGTAGGTACAAGGGTTACATGCATGCTAAATGTTCAAAAAGGGGCTCAACATTCTAGCCCAACTTCAAAGGTTACAATGTTCAACCAAAAGAAAACCAAGAGTTACCCACTAACTATAGGAAACAACCTACAGCCACAATTATGTACCACCAAAAGTAATAGAGATGCGTAGCAGCAAGAAAAACATATGTGCGATGCTAAAGGGAGTTGTCCTTGTGCAAAGCGGTCAACTGATGGTGCACCACGAACAGCCAAATTAAAACAAGTGCTCCATTAAATAGAAAGGAACTAAACATGAAAATGACACAAGTTTGTCGACATACAAACGCCATCTTATAACACAACATTTGGTTAACACAAAATTAGATTATCAACAATAGCTAAGAAAGAACTTGATGATTCAGAGTGGGTACCATTCATACACTTGATGATTCATAGGCTTGAAATACCAATCTTAAATGTCATGAATATTCCTTTTTCCAAACAATTTCATACCTATGTTATAGATCAGTGCTTAAAATTGGAAAAATTGATATGCTCAGATGAAAAATCATACATACAATTTGATCTTTGGATTCCTATTTTTTGGAAGGAGAAATCGTAAAGGGGAAAAGAGGGAAAAAAACATCAAACCCATTTACGAAATCAAACCCTAGAAATCAAACCCATACGTCAAACCCATAAAACCTTACAAATCAAACCACTTAAACAAAACCCATTTAAGAAATCAAAAAGAAATTCAAATAAGAAATCATATACATATATATATATATATATATATATACATGTAAATCATATATATACATACATATTTAAGCACCACATGAGAACGAAGATGGAAGAGGAGAGACCTCACGGCCTCCTCACTTCACCTAGCATAGCCGCCGTCGCCTCCAGAGTCACCATTGTCGTTGCCCACCCTCTGTGTTAGAAGAGCCATTCGAGTTTGCCTCTCTCTTGAGCGTTAGGGCTGTCTCAACGATTGAGTGAGAACGGAAAAAAGAGGGGAAAAAAAATTGAATTTAACGCCAAAACGACGTCGTTTTGGAACCACGGCAGGGATCACGGCAGGAAACTATGGCAGAGGATCTGAACTCGGTTTGGCAAGGGCTCATTGGGCTTTTTTGGCTCAATGAGCCATAAAAGATAGAATAGGTTTATGAGCCACAACAGACAAAACATCTCATCCAACCCCATAATCATTACACTCTTCTCTCACAAAAAAATCAAAAAAGTTAAAAAGTCAAAATTCCTTCCCAAACTAAGCTTTTGAGCCCAAGCTCATATAGTCAAAAAAGCCAAAAAATTAAAAAGTCAACCCACTTTCCAAACGGAGGCTAAATAGATGTGTGTGCATGTATGTTTGTTTTTTTTTCCTTTTTTCCCTTGTCAGATGTGTAGAGGTTTTTTAAGTTCTTTATCACTGTTATTCACTATTAATTTCTTGTATTCAAATATTGTTAGTAATTTATTTTGTGAATGCCTTATGTATTATAAAATTTCCCTCATCAAAATCGAACTCATTGTGCAAAAAAAAAAGAATAATTTTATATACACTAATTTGTATACTAATTAGTATACCAATTGATGATGTGACAAAATTTAAAATTTTTTTGATATTTGTAATTTGTAAAATGAATGGGTTCAATAATAATGTTATAACTAGTATTGATACACTAATTAATACATGTAATAATATCAAAAAAAATATGTCATACAATTATTTTGCACAATCCCCAACTAAAAGGAGTGCATTCCTAACCTCCCATTAGACTAAAAATATTTAGGTAGCGTTTGGTAGACTTTTTTAAATATGATTTGAGAATAGAATTGTATTTTAAATTTGTGAGTTTTGAAATTATAATTTGACTATAAAAAATTTATTTGGTAAATGAGTTTTGAATTGAATAGAAAATTTTTGATGTAGCATATGATATTTGATACAAAAACTTACAACTCATAACCAAATACACAACTCAAAATTATATTCAAAACCCATAAAAAAATTAAAAATTTCGAAATTTTTTTATTTAAAACATAAAAAATAAAAGTTGGCAATTGTTAAAATAAAAATAAAAATAAAAAATTTGTGCACTGTTTTGGTCAATCGACCGAATGTCCGAAGGACGACCGGTTAGTTCAAATTTTCTCGCCTTTGACAGAATTTTTAAAAATGAGTGTAAAATTAATTTTTAAAAGTTATAAACAAATACCATATTTAAAATAAAAAGTAAAACTAAAGTTTGAGAGTACCACCAAACAACCTTATGTTATAGCACAATCCCAGCTAAAAGGAGTACATTCCCAACTAAACAAAATATGTCCTACATTTATTTTGCACTGTCTAGACATATTTATCACTAATCACTAAATATTATATTTTATTATTTGACTTAATACAAAGTCGGTGGTACTACATGTATCAATACGAGTTATAACATTATTATTAATTTCATTCATCAATCATGTTATAAATATCAAAATTTTTTAAATTATATAACATTATCAATTAATATATTAATTGATACATATAATAGTACACATACAAAATTATGTATCTCATTTTCTCTTTCAACCGCAACATATTTGAGATAGATATCACGTAACCATGTCTAGCGCAAACTGTTCCCTAAAATGAACTCCATGGCTTGAAACCCAACCGGTCTGACATTTGAACCCGATCCAAACCCACTCATACTGTTCACTAATTGTTTAATATATAAATCGCAAAATTGTCTAATATTTCATTCTTCGACTTTCTCTATCCTCAAAGCAACCGTGTCGTCGTCGTCGTCACAGCTTCTCCCCCTGGTAAAAGGAAAAAAACAAAAACAAACCAACACTACCAACGACCACCGTCTCCGCCGCCACCGCCGCCACCGCGGTCTTCGTATCAGCCACCGAATCCCCGATAATGGACGTCCAATTTGTAAGTCCGTTTGTTTATTTGTTTCTTCATCACTAGGTCTTCCGGAAACCCTAATTTGAACAATTATCTCAAATCAAGCTCACTATTCTGATTCAATCTTCATTTTATTGCACTGAAAACTAGGTCGTATTACACACCTCGCGTTGTTAGGGTTTGAAAGGGATTGTATTCGAGAGCTGTGATTGTTTGATTTGATTTCTATAGGGTTTGTGTGTTTTGATTGAATTTTGAAACGGGGAAGATAGGAGGATAATGTGTATACTGTGCGTGATTCAGAAGTGGTCTCGACGGGTTGCTACCCTGCTTCCATGGTTAGTAATTCCACTGATTGGTCTCTGGGCGTTGTCTCAGCTGTTGCCCCCGGCTTTCCGGTTTGAAATCACGTCGCCGAGGTTGGGGTGCGTGGTTGTTTTATTGGTTACCTTATTCTGGTATGAGATTTTGATGCCAAAGTTGTCTGCTTGGCGGGTGAGAAGGAACGCCAGGCTTAGAGAGAGGATGAGGTTTGAGGCCATCGAAATGCAGAAGCTTCGGAAGACAGCAACTAGGAAGTGTAGGAACTGCTTGACTCCGTATCGGGATCAGAATCCTGGCGGGGGACGGTTTATGTGTTCCTATTGTGGGCATATTTCAAAGAGACCGGTTTTGGACCTCCCTATACCTCCTGGATTGGGGCTTCCAAATTCTGGGATTTTGAGGGATTTGGTTGGTAAAAGTGGGAAGATATTGAATGGGAAGGTGTGGTCTGATAATAGTCGAATATGCAATCAAGATTGGTTAGAGAATGGTAATTGGGTCAGTGGGTCTTTTGCTGGGAAGTATAATTATTGGCAGGAGAATGGAGGCAGTTTTTTCAGCAGTGATGACCATTGTATGGCAGAGACATCTTATTCAGGGGTTATTTTTTTTGCCTGCAAGATATTGACAGCTTTTTTCTTGACCATTGGACGGCTCTGGAGAAAGATCATTAGGGTTAGTTCATCTGGAGATGATGATTCATCAGATGCAGAACACAAGGGGATGCTGGCTAAAGGAGGTGAAAATGGGGTGAATTTTAATGAGAGTAGAGGAGAGAAAGCTCGCAGAAAAGCTGAAGAGAAGAGACTGGCTAGGTTAGAGAGGGAGCAATTGGAGGAGGAGGAGAGAAAACAGAGGGAGGAGGTTGCAAGGTTGGTGGAGGAACGTAGGAGACTGAGGGATGAGAAGATGGAGGCTGAGAAAGATCATAGTAGAAGTTCAACTGCTGTCCGGGAAAATGACAGTAAGAAGGAAGCAGAGAAAAAGCGTCAAGAAAGAAGGAAGGAAAAAGACAAGGGGTCTAGTAAAAGCAACTCGGATGCAGAGGAACTGGAAAAGAGAGCGGGGAAGGAAAGTGAGCAGAAATGGGAGTATGACAGGAAGAGTGAGACTGATCGACGGGAATATCACAGAACTGGTGTGGAAAGTTCGAAGTCCTATAGCACAGAAATGGCACATGGGAGTAAGGGTGCTATTGCAAACAATTATAGCCGAGGAAATGCTGGAACAAGATACCTGGACCGTATGAGGGGTACTTTTTTGTCTTCGTCTAAAGCCTTTAGTGGAGGTAGTTTCTTTGGTCAAGGTGTGAATAATTCTACTACTGTTTCAAGAGATAATAAGCCTAATGGTTCTGTAGATTATGTTCACATTTCTACTAATAAGAGAGAGTCATCTCAGTCTGGGAAATCAACTATGAATGGGGATGATAAGACTATCAACCGTCCTGTAAGTTATTTTGCTGCTTGTTGATTGTTATGTAATTTGGTTTAATCACTTATTTCATATGTTCAGAGGCTATATCTAAAATAGTTGTGGAAATGTTGAACTGATTGTATTGTAAGCTGAGAATATAATTGTCAAAATGTCCATTATCCTTTGCTGGACTCGTGCCATGCATGATGCATGTGCTTGTGAGTCACGAGTTTTGCTTCTCCGTTTGCATGCCGTCATCACAAATGTTATGTTAGGACTTATAGTGTTTAGCATTTTTGGCATGTGAAATCGTCTATTTATTTGATCTATTTTTTAAACGAACAAATCTTGTTCTACATTGTGAGTTACATATTTTTTGCCACTGCATGAATTTGGGATGAGTTTCTACCTTCTGGTGTGCTTTATGTTTATGTTGGGTTGTTTACTGCAGGTAGTCGTTGAACTGCAACCAACAGCGGCCCCTAAAAAATCATGGCAACAATTATTTACTCGTTCATCACCTGTTCCTCCGCCCACTAGTTCAAATGTCATAAGTAGACCAAATGCAAAGTCCCAAACAGAAGTTCAAAGCCCTCCTTTTGCTGGTCACTCCTCGTCTGGACAATCATATGATAATCCCATTAATTTTGGACTCCCATCACCATTTACTTTACCTACCTTTTCTTACATACCAACTAGTACAATTCCTCCATTAACATCTGAAGTTATGTTTCCTCGCATTCGAGAAACTTCTCGTGATTTTTTACCAGAAGAGTCTGACATTTTTGAAGACCCATGTTATGTTCCTGATCCAGTAACTTTGCTTGGGCCTGTTTCTGAGTCACTAAATAATTTCCAGTTAGACCTAGGCACCGGATTTGCAACAGACATGGGATTGGAAAAGCCACGTGCTTTAAAGAACGTATCTGCATGTGCTGAAATCAACAGGCCATCACCAATTGAGTCTCCGGCACGAATACGAGTCTCTGATGAAAGGCATTCTAATTCCAATCGATGTCCAAGTACAACTAAGGCGCAGGATATGCATACTTCACCAGCAGATGATTCGAGTAATGCAAATGAGAAGGGAACGTGGCAAATGTGGAGCACTTCTCCTCTTGGTCAAAATGCTCTAGGTTTGGTGGGTGACCCAGCCAGCTGGCTATTACCTCCAGAACTAAACAGATCAAATAAGGAAGATTTGGTGCATCCTATGTCCCAAAAGACTATGGCATCACTGTTTACAAAAGATGATGAAACCCTTTCTGGCACTCATTCTCCTCGGAAGGTTTTCCCTGGCAATTATCAAAATGGTGGGACCTTTGCTACTTCTATTCCTGGTTCTACTGATGATCCTTGGTTACCAAAAGCTTTATTTGGACCAATGCCAGGCTCTGAAGTCCATTTTTCTCTTAATCCACCGGAGGAAACTTCTCAGTATGAAATGATGTACCGGAGTCCCAATGCATCTGCAACTAACCATCAATTTGCATCAGCTCCAGCCAATTGGGCCAAGTAAGTGATCTACTCTGGCATCCATCTTTCAAGCTGTAATTGTTTTCTTGGGCAAAAGACATTTAATGTGCCTTTTTCATTCCTGAAACATTTTTAGAGGTTGATTGGTTTATCTTTGCTGCTGCATTATATCAGTAAGCTTTGAGTAAAAAATTTGTCATGATTTTTCTTTGTAGAGCAATTTCTGATGGAACTTACGGCTTGGTTTGGTTTGGTTTGGCTTGGTTTGGTTGGGTTTGGTTATGACATAGTGCATTCCAGAAGTAACTTTGATTCTAAAATATCTAGAAATTAAATGGAAAAACATCCCACCTTTGAATTCTATTCTTAGAAGAAAACTAGGGCAATTGCTAGCTAGTTCTAAAGTTTATCTCCATGCATCGTTCTTTCTTACTTTCATTTCATCTTTTCCACTGCTTGGCTTACTTGTAGCTCTTATGTGCATGGTGTGACTGCGGTTTTACCTCCTCAACCATTGCCTTCTGTATTGGTACAAATCTGCAGCCAAGAAAAATCTATGTGATATAGTGACTCATGTTTTAGCACCCATGAAACTGCTAGAACTTGTTAATATTGTTATTTGTCATTATTTGTGCATTAAATATTACTGTATTTACATATGTAGTTTTTGTTGGGAAAAGAACAACCCACAGGGGAAACAAAAATATATTCCCCTTCTCTGTGGACTAAAATGAGAAACATTTCACTACAATGGCAGTAATCAAATCAACAAGATACACCCATAACCAATTGTTATGTGGAAAACATGCAAAAGGGAAAAACCATGGAACTGTAATCCAATTGTAATCTTCCACTATATCAAATAATGAGTTCACAAGAAGTTTCCTCTCTCTCGGCACAACTAGAGTTTAACAACAACAAGAACATAATATTCTATTGGGTACCAAAGATATTTTTTTCACCCTAAGGTGAATTTTAACACAATAATATCATGAAGTTTGACGTGAAAAGGTCATATAGAGAAATCAATGTAGAAGGGTCTGATCAACAATCCAATCGATAGATGTGAAGTTCCTAACAACTAGAGCAAACAAGTAAAGATTCATCATCATTGAGCTTTAATACACCGTCTGATCAAGGTCATGAAATGAGTTGTTATCATCCACAAAGCAGATGTTCTATCTTTTCTCTCAATTGCCGCATTCTACCCACTAAAGGTGGGGGTTTAAATACTTGGTTTCTTAATGAAGCCTTGTTTCACTGGCTCATCAATTCTCATTCTCTCTCTCTTACATGGTCTTGGGTCACATTTGTGGTGATTTCTCCCCCTGTTTGCCTTTTCTTTTTCTTTTTCTTTTTTCGTTACAAGAGCCTCTGCCTCAAAAGAAGTGCCCAAGACTTTCCTAGCTTGTTCATTGAGCAAACTATTCTTAAGCATGTCCATGGTTACCTTTCCATTTGAAGCCAAATTGCTTAGTGACACCACTGTGTTTATTTTATTTTATTTTTTGATAAATAAGAAAAGAGTAGTGAAAGAGGTAACAATGGGTGCAGCTTGTATACAAATAGAAGCCCATCTCATCTATAGGCCAAAGCTACTCAAAATTCACTGTAAAATTTAAAAATTGATTTAAGGAAGGATTAACCTTACCCAAATAACAACTATATAAAAAAGACAATAATCTAGTTTTTATTTTTAGAACCGTTCTTCCTTCCATAAAAATCATTTTATTCCTTTCACCCCACACTAACGACAAAACTGCCAAAGGGCTCAAGCACCATGCCTTCCTGCTCCTTACTCGATCACCCTTCCAAGAATGAAGCTCCCTTACCATCCAAGGGAACACCCATTTAATACGCGTTGTTATGCCATTTCCAAGCCTCCTTCAAACATGAGGAGGACCAAAGCCCATAGCTCTTGCACCATTTCACAATGGATAGGAAGACGGACCACAGACTTTCCATCAAACTTGCACATGCAATACCAGTTAATTTGCACTTGCCTTCTTCTAATCAAATCGTTGATAGTTAGAATCTTGCCATACACTGTGCACCATGTTAGTACCCAGATTTCTTCCCATGGAGAAAGGCATATCCAATGGCCTGCCAAAATTTTGTAAAATGACTTAACATTCATCCACCTGATTGAATCACCCCATCACCAAGGCAAGTTGCGTACAACTGCCTAAGAAGATCCATCAAATCTTCCAACTCCCAATCATTATGCTCTCTTTGCAGAGTGTGCAGACCAATATTCCAAAGAACATGGCCATCCTCAACCTCAGCAGACTCATCTTGTTGCTGCCTTCATTTTTTATTTTATTTTATTGCTTAGCGTCTTGTTGCTGCCATCTTGTTAAGCACAACATGAGAAACATTGGGATAAGTTATCCCCAGCTAAACAGCACCACACCATTGATGGCACCAGAATGTTGCTTGTTCCCCGTTCCTCATTATAAACTGAATATGATTGGAAAGAAGAATCCCACTTGCTACGGATGCCTTTCCACAAACCGATACCGTAAGACATAGAAACCCACTTCCATATCTACCTCCCACAAAAGTTGTCTAATTTTTCATGGTCATTCAAATTTATGGAATGGTTGAGTGAGTTTGTTTGAAGAAGTTAAGATAACTATTATGTCATTATTAGGTCAACATCCATCACATAAGTCATAAAGTGGATTTCCGCAACCCCTCAGATTTTGTTATTAATTATCTTACAGTAGCCTAATCTCTGCTGTTGCTTTATACCTAAAATTCTTACACACCAATCTGCATCATTAAATTATGATATGAACTTTGCCTATTCTAGTTTGATATGAGTTATGATGTAAGCTGAAGAGCTAATTTATATTCAACACTTACAATTTGAAGTAGTTGCTTAATAAATGAAAGTTGAGGAGCAGTTCACGTGCTCCTGAAATATTCACCATGGTTCTATGGATTTTGATTTTTGTTTCTTTGCTTGATGATTAATTTGGGTCACCGACCCCAACTGTTTGGAACATAGGGTTTGGTTTGGTTTGGTTTGGTTTTCTTAGTGATGAAATCATCACTGACCGTTTTCGCATAGATGGAGGCGGGTACGAAACATAAGTTGATTGTAATTCGTTTTTTGTTATCTATTAAAACGCTAATGGTTGCAATACATCCGAAAATAGTGACACCCCATTGTCAATTCTGTAATGATTTCCAAATTGCGAATATGAAACTTCATATTGAGTAGTAATATATGTTTTTGATTTTGAAAATCCTAATTTTGATTGTGAAAACCAAAATCACTATTGGGTATATTTTGTGGGTGTTTCAAATCTGTGAGTAAACATTGTATGAATGTGGAAAATGATTATGCATTGCTCATTGTATATTGGAATGTAAATATTCGTATTGGTAATGTGATGTGAATGGCAATGTGAATGGCTGGACATCGATAGTGAACATATTGACACAAAATGTACCTATGGTAATGTTCTCATTGTGAAATTTGTGAACGTTCATATATATATATTTATTTTTTTTGATTCAATAAATGTGAATGTGAATAACCATATTGTGATGGTTGATGAGAGTGTGAATGCCATATGTGAGTACTCATTGTGAATGTTCATCATATTGTGAAAGTGAATGGTATTTTGAATGTATGGTAAGTCAACATTTACAATGACAATTGAGAAAATGTGAACTTTTTAACTTGTTAACAAATGCATATTGTCATTTGGGTTGATAATGTTGGCATACATAGGTAAAGACGCATCATGTGTGTCTGTGCACACTCAAACACATGGTCTTTCAGTTGAATGTTGACATTGATATGGTTTTATTTACGTTGGTAATATTCAGAGTGGCTGTAGTATGTGAAATTTCATATCGACAATATATACATGAAACTATTTGACTGAAGTATGACATTTGGTTTTGTATTCACATGTTATTTCATTCACATCTATATTTAAGCATTCATATTTTTTAACTTTGTTTTTGTATGGGATGTAAATGTCCGTGTTGTGAGTAAGAATTATAATGTGAATGCGTGGTATGTGACTAATATGACTGTAGTAAGCAGAGTAATGTGTGGTATGTGGGTTGTGTGATAAAAATGACACTGCAGTAGAGCTGTAGGAGCTCATCTATTCTTTATTATTGTGAACTGTTTTGCTTAAAGTGGGTTGTGTGATAATAGTCATGCTAAACTTTACTTGACAGTCATAATAGCTTGATGTTTCTGCACATAATATCAATTTGATATATAGTGGTGGTGTTGGTACTTGAGGGATATCAAATGGCACCTTAGCAGTTTAGCTATTATGGCATCTGTTTTTTGAGGGATATCTTTAATGGTTGAACTTTTTACTTCATTCCTGTATTAGAATTCTTTCTTATGCTTGTTTTCACTTTTGTTTCAGTGGCAGGAAGGAGTGGGGGACTGTGCAGGGTTCGGGGGAAGGCATCGGAAACTCATCGTCGAACACAAGGGCTCATATTGGTGGACTCTATTCCAACCCAAATGTAGAGTCACTTTGGTCATATGATTAAAAAGAGAGTGACAGAGAGTAGTTATGAGTCGACTTGAAAAAAAGTACAAAAACTCTTTTGAAGGGTAAAAAAAGCCTCTTCTGGAAGAGAGTTTAGAATACTGGATCACTGTATCTTCTTCCTTTCTCATCTTTATGAGAGAAAATTTAATTAACACTACTAGCATGTTGGAAATTACACGTGGAATGCATGCGCTAGTCAATAGTTTATATCGTCATTTTTTATTTTGGTTCTTTTCTTCGTCTTCTTCAGGAGCCTCTGAATACACCCACTAAGGCCTTGTTTGGGAAGCGGCTGGTTTAGTAAAAAAATCAAAAAGTTATTTAAAAAAATCTAAAAGCTAACAATCCATACCAAAAAGTCAAGATTTTCTTTTCTCTTTTCTCTTTACTTTGTGCACATCTTTTCGTAAAAAGTAAAAAAATCATCTCAAATATATTAATTTTTTTTTTTATCACATTTTAGTTAAGAAGTCAAAAAGTTATTAAAAAAATATGTTTCCAAAAGGAGGCCTAAATCTCTCCAAGCCATTGAAAACCTTTGTAATAATACCTCAAAAAATATGTTTCCAAAAGGAGGCCTAAATCTCTCCAAGCCATTGAAAACCTTTGTAATAATACCTCAAAAAAATTTAGAGAGAAATTTTTTTTATAATATAAATTTCTTTTTTTTTTTGTTTTGCAAAATGTATACAAATTCAATCCTGGTCTTCTTTGGTAGCTCTGAAATGGTGTTTGAGAGAGAAGCTAAGGACATCACCAAAGCTAATTACTACCTACATACATTTTTTATTTGAGCGAATAACATTTTACCCCGTCAACTATGGGCTATTATTACTTTATCCCATTAACAAAAAAAATTTATACTTTATTTCCCTAATCTTCTATTTTGTTTCAGTCTTAAACTTTCTATTGATATTTTGTTATGAAAAGAGGAAAAGATAGATGTGTATATCTCATAAATGTAAATAACAGTTGATTTTTAATCCTCTTTTTATAATAGAATGTTAATAAAAAGGGAAATTACATTGCAGTGTGACTTTCCAAAAAAATTACAAATTAATAAAAATGTTTATCAATTTTAATAAATAAATTATAATTATTTTCATGAATTTATAAATATTTTGTAGAAATACCATTGATGTATAATTTTCCCTTAACAAAATGTTGAGATTGAAACATATCTGAAGATTTTGGTGGGGTGGGGGGGGGGAGGGGGATGCGTCAATTTGTAGTTGAGAGGATGAGAAGTGATAATGTGAAGGGGGTAAAGTGTAATTTGACATTTTCATTTTCCATTCTGCCATTTTCTTGGTAACTACTAACTAGTAAAAATATTGGAGATCTAAAAGTGCAATTTTGTGCATGTGTGTAAATGTTTCTTAAAACAAATAATAAAATTAGTTGAGGCTCTTTCTTGGTTAATAACTTGAGAACCTTTTCCTCGAACATGATACGAGACTCACAAAAAGATGGAATTCACTTTTGTATTAAGGTTTTGTTTGGTTCTTTAATCAGTTTGATTTTAACCAACTGTTAGAATTAATTCTAAACAATAAAAAGTGAAAAGTATTGCACCAAATTACTCTACCTATTATAATACAAAATTTATTCATGAAAAGCATTTGGAATTGTTTGATTTATTTATATGTTTTCTCCAATTCTGTTGGAGTGATTGAGGACTGAAGTGATAAATACAAGGCAAAATATTATACTGAGGAGATTATTAGTGTGATAATATTAAGTCGAGATATACGATAACAAAAATGTCTAAGACTCATTTTTTTTCCCACTCCCTTTGACCCCCTCTCTCTCATTGGTTGGATTTTCTTTTTCTTTTTTTTTTTGTTTTCCTTGTCCTCTAATCACCACCTGTCACATGTGTGTGGGGTGGTGATCGGAGGGGGTTTCCATCACTTCTCATATTATTTTGGAAAGTAAATTAAAAGTTAACTTTTTGACTTTTTCTAACTTTTTTTTAAAAAAGCTTTTAAAAAAATAAAGAGGTGATATGATTTAAAAGAGGTTAAAAGTTAAAAAATTAAATTTTAACCTCTTCCAAAACTGGCTATAAATTTTATTTAAAAATTATTTAAAAATTTACAATCCCCTCACTCAATTTCTAATTCCAACCCTATCATGGGATTGGTAGTCTTACCAATAAGAGGGATTATTAATCCAAAAAAATAAAATATCTTTCGCTCATGTTTCCAATCTGTTTCCAATCAAACACTTTATAAGTAGGTTTTAAGGACTATTAGTCTAATCTCTTTTTTCAAAGAGCCATATAAATATGACCTAAGTGTCTGGTACATACTTTGAAAAAATTTAATGTACATTGATTAAAATAATAAAAACAGCAATTTAAATAAGATATTTACAAAATAACTAATCACCCTATTAAAAATAGCATGCTAAGCCATCGTCTGTGCTGTCGATGAATTTTCTAACAAGCATTCTCAAAAGAAACCTTCCCTACAACTATCCAAACAACATCGTCTGTACGAGGCTGGTGATCCTTCTGTACATAGGGTAGGTAGATTTAGGTAGCGCTAGTAACTTAATTATGTCATTTAATCCGATAATAAAAAGGATCAAATCCTCAACAACCGTCCTAACCACCTTAAAACACACCAACCTAAATAATCCCAACCACCTTAAAATATCGAGTAATGCTAATATTTAAAAATTTTACTAAATTTATTATCAAATGTTTTACATGACTCGTGTGAAACATTTAGTAAAAAAATTGATAAAACTTTTAGAATCCCTAATATTTTTCTAAAACATCACCTCCTTTTCACCCACTGAAGTTTTGCTCATGGGCGGTGGCTTAGGTCGCATATGCATTTTGAAAACTATGCTTCTAACAAATAAAGAACAACATGGTATTTGTGGAACTGTTTGAAACAAAATTGTTTAACCGAATCACACAATCTAAAAAGAAAACAAATTATTAAGAGTGAATATCAAGTCAACAACAGTAACATTTCCAAAAACAGAACATTGAAGAAGTAAATAGATATAAAGAGTAGGCATTACAATTCAAGTTACAAAAAACCCGATAATAAACTTTGATTTTGTTATGGAAACTGAGGTGAGACAGCCTCCAATGGAAGCAATTGATAAGGCTCTTCCAGATCCGGTTGATCTTGTTCCTGCTGGGTTTGCGGCTGCTCACCTTTCCAAGTCCATACAATGTCTTTCAGTCCCGGCCTTAAATGCTTTTTGATCAGCTTCTGATACTCCAACGTATCGCCACTCGTCTTTTTCACCTCAACCAAATGAAATGTTGGCGTGACCTCAAAGATCTCCGCGTCCATAGACAATGAGCCCTTTCTGCCTTCCTTCGCTCCTTCCAGTTTCATCAGCCCTCCGTCTTTCTTCATCACTTTCAGCTTCAATCGCTTCGCTATCTCCTCTAACTTTGAAATGATGGTCTTCGCAGTCTGTCTGGATGTAAATTGCACTTCTTTCTTTCTATCGCTTTCCTCGAACAAACCAGACAAGTCAAAGCCTGCTGAAAATGAAATGATATCAAATGCATTCAAGTTGCTTGGCTTTGCCAGTTCTTGCTTTGCCTCTGCTGCGGTGCTGATATCCTCGGAAGGACCAAACACTGCGTCAGTGTTAAGAACAACAGGTTCTTTCACTTCTGTTTCAATTCTCTTGGGTTTCAAGTCAAAGCCTCTCCGAAACCAATAACTTTCCATGATTTTGGGAATGGATATTCTGGTATTTGGGTTTGGGTCCAGTATCTTTGATAACAGCCTGCGTACTTCAGGGGCGAACCAATTAGGGCATTTAAACTCTGCCTTGCCAATCTTCCTATACATCTCCATCAGATTCGAATCATGGAATGGGAGATTCCCAGCCAATAGAACATATAAGATGACCCCACAAGACCATATGTCGGCTTTAGATCCATCATACCCTTTTCTGTTGATCACTTCAGGAGCAACGTAGGCAGGTGTTCCACAAGTTGTGTGGAGCAACCCATCTTGACGCTTAGATTCACAGAGGGCACTCAATCCAAAGTCTGAAACCTTTAGATTTCCATCCTCATCCAACAGTAGGTTCTCTGGTTTCAAATCCCTGTGATAAACACCTCTACTGTGGCAGAAATCAACGGCACTGATCAGCTGTTGGAAAAGCTTCCTCGCAGCATCCTCCTTCAGCTTTCCTTTTGACAACTTGTTGAAGAGTTCACCGCCTCTGACGTATTCCATGACAAAGTAAATTTTGGTTTTGCTGGCCATGACTTCATAAAGCTGCACGATATTTGGGTGTCGAACCATCCCCATTATAGAAATCTCCCGCTTGATCTGATCAACCAACCCAACCTTCAAAACCTTCTCTTTGTCAATTATCTTAATCGCCACACTCATACCAGTTTTAAGGTTCCTTGCGTGGTGGACCTTGGCGAAGGTTCCTTGTCCTAATAACTTCCCTAACTCATACCGTTGCATCAACACACTCCCTTTCTTCTCCATCTCAAATTACAGAAAGTAGTGTGATACTTTCTCCAGATAATCCAATCTATGCAGTATAGGTATTTACGAGGAAGGAATCAAATTAAAGACAATAAAGAGTTTAGCCATCTTCACAATGGTCGTGATATGACACGACTTGACCCCTAAAATAATTTGCTATAGTGGGCATCTGAGCCAAGAGGAAGAAAGGGTTATGAGTTATATGCCCAATCTCATCAAGAATAAACAAGGGCAGCTCGAGTGGAGCTTCAAGCTTACCGAAAGACACCTTAGCTCTAAAGCACATCTTTCAGCATTCCCTAGCTTTTTAATGAACGAATACTAGAGAAGATAGTTATGGACAGAAGTTGGACCTGTACCAGAACAGTGCAAAAGCCGAAGCAGAAATTGGTTAAGGTTCGATTCTCCAGCAAGCGCGACGAGATATTCACCTGAAAAGAAATGAAAACAGATCCCTTGTAAACAAAAGAAAAGCAACCATATATATAGATGTAATCATTGACTCATAAAATAAACACAATTTGACATAAAGATTCAAATACAAAGCAGAAGAGGACCCAAATGAATAATATTGCTGAAGGTGGAGGAAAATTAAAAGGGAAATCAGGATTGGAGGAAATTTTGTTTTTGAAGATTTAACCAATGATAAGCTGTCATACTTCAGTAACAGATTCAGAAATTTTTATGAAAATTCTGAATATGCATGAAAATTCTATATGTAAATTATTTCCATTACAAAATTGCTGAATCTTGAGGCTTTAATTCACACTCAACAATTACTTTCAATATGCATAGAACTAAATTGTTGATTCAAATAATTTACAGTTCAAATAAAACCCTATAAAATTGTAAATAAATTAAAATCAGCATCAAACTACTTAAAAAATTAACTTTTCTGAAAAAATAAGACAGATTTGACGATCGGCAAACCAGAAAAGGAGTTTAAAAAAAAAAAACAAAAAAAAAGGAACAGTAACATATCTGTTTGGTTGCCGAGAAACTCAGCTCAAAGATGAGTTTTTTTCATTTCATCTGAACTCAAGCATCAAATAGAAAAAAAACTCCGAGATTCAGATACGTTTTATTTTTCTTTAACTTTTTTCCGACCTTTTCTCGGAAACCAAACACACACGAACACAGACATACAAACAAAATTCACTACGAAGTGTGGGAATTTATGAATCTGTAAAGATATGCGAATCGAAATTGAGGAGAGATCGAATCGAATCGAATCACTGATGAATGATTACCTTTCGTAATGAGGAATTTAAGTCCAAATTCTAATCAGTAAAACTTGAGAGAAGAAAAGCTTACGAAAGATAACAATCACAAGCTTATGAAAGATAACAATCACATGGAACTCTCTATACATATACACACAGAGTAACGCGTAGAAAAACCCTAGAGCGCTTTTTTAGTAGCTTTACCAATTTGATATTTTGTGAACAGTAATATTACAAATGCAGCCGTTACTAACAAAAAAATAACGTGCGTATAATACACGTTAATATTACAAATACAGCTATAATTATCTAAAAATTATTCAAAATTATTATTTTATAATTTAAATTTATTTTATATATAAACTCTACATTACACAAATTTAATCTTAATCACAAAAGCTCTTTCTGAATAAATTCAAGATAGTTAAGGCAGGATTCATGGATAATTCTATTTACATATCATTATTATTTTCAATACACAACATTTTTCAATTTTTTTAATTACTATTGTGTCCTTGAATGAAATTATCATTTTGGACAAAAACCCTAAAATCAAATCCATCATAACACCCTCCGGTCACCACTATGACCCGCCCGTCGTGACTCGCTTTTTTTTTTTCATTTCTTATGCTATGACTGTCGTCGCTGCTACCGTTATCATCTCCGGCGACTCCCACCTCCGTTCCTCTTCCATTTCTCACTCCACATTCTCTCTCTCGCTCTTGATTTAGGGTTTTCAAATAGCGGTGGCAGTGGGTCGCAATATGACAACGATGGTGAGAGGTGATAACAGCGTCGGTGGTAGTGGATCTAAATCTAGGGTTAGAGTTTCAAAAAGAAGATGAGGATGATGAAAGAATGAAAGCAATGGTGGGTGGTGGACGATGTTGCGGTATGGGTTGTTGGCGATGGAGATGATGGCTTTGGCATCGGCAACAAAGGCAGAATGGGTTAGAAGAGAGACGACAGTGGTTTTTGAAGGTAGAGGAAGATGGATGAATGAACGACGGGGTTGGGTTATGGTTGAAGGAGGCTGGGGATGGTGGTGACAGTGGTGGTGGGTGACAGTAGACAGCGACAGTAATGACTACATTAGGGTTAGGGTTAGACATTTTGAGAAAATGAGGGCATTTTGAGATTACTGGAAAATGAATGGTGTGATTTGAGAAAAAAATAAATAATTTAAAATTTGGTATGATGTGTATTGAAAGAGATTGTGGTATGTAAATAGAATCACTCACGAGTCATAGAATTTTTCTTTTATGAATTATGGAAATGCTACCCATATAATGGCGTATTTTGGCGAGTAAATAAGGCTTGATTTGAGAACTATCTATTTTAGTTTAAAATTTTTTAAATTATTATAAATAAATAAAATCACTCTATTTTTTTGTATATTTTTCATAAAAAGTGAAAAATAAATTAAAATAGTCAATTTGGCAAGTAGCTAAGGCTTGATTTGCGAACTATCTATGTTAGTTTAAAATTTTAAAATTATTATTAAAAAATTAATTTTCACTCTATTTTTTTTGACATATTTTTTCATAAAAAATTAAAAAAATTAATTGAAATATTCAATTTTTAAAACAAACTTAAAATAGCTTAAAAGTTAAAAAAGTCAATTATTCTGTCTTTGCCCATTTTTTTATTTATAAAAAATCAAAAAAATCAACCAGAACAATTACTTTCCAAAATAACTCAATATATGCCTTTTATTACATCACTAATTTAGGCCTTGTTTGGAAATTTCAATTTTTAGTAAAAAAATTACTACAAATTACATCATTATCTCTACTTTTTAAACGTATTTTTATATTAAAAACTTACTAAAAAAATTTGTTAGGTTTTATTATTGGCAATCCCGTTTGACAAGGATTTCTTTAATAAATTGATTTTCTTCTAAAACTAGGATATCCAAAAGTAATTAGATTTTTTCCAAAACTAGGATTACTTTTGGATTTTCTATAAATAATTGGTTTTCTCCCAAAACTATTTAATTCCTCCAGATCTTCTTTTTGGTTCTTAAGGTTTATATCTGGGGATATTTTGTTAGTTTTCTTTTTGTTAGTTTTCTTTTTGTTAGTTTTCTTTGATATTTTATTGAGTATTCAACTCATGGTTTAAAGAGAGTACATCAAAGGTTTTGTTTGTTATACACAAGAAAGAGAGAATTGTTCTTCGGTGGATTCTGAAGAATTCGAGCCTGAAGCTTCGGTGGATTCTGGAGTGGCTCATCGTAAAGACAATCCCAAGGTGAAGACGTGGTTGGAAGAGGCACATAGAAGTTGGTTCAATTAGGCGTGGATTCGCTAGGTAATTGAGAGTATACTTGTGTAATTCCTTTAAATCTTCTTAGTAGATTGTTTTGTGGCTGTCACCCGTGGTTTTTTAATCACAGCTGGAGGTGTCCAATTGTGGTTTTTTCACGTTAAAATCATTGTGTTGATTTGTCTTGATTGTTTGATTGTGATTGTTATATACTGCTTAAAACTGTTACATAATCACAAATCAATATTTAGGGGATTTCTAGATTTTTCAAAATTAATTCTCGAACACCTTAAAATTCCTTTAAGAGTTAGTTGAAAATTTAATTTATATTAAATCTTTTTAATTTAATTTGACATTTTTTTTTAGCAGTGATTAAAATAGCTTTTATTTTTATGAAAAATGAAATTACTGAATGAGCTAAGGTTTCGTTAACAAATATTATGATAGTGGTCTGTTATAACATTTGTTAAAGCTAAAATTTGAAGAAAAAAAATTAACTTGTTATCTTCATCTATCAAGATTATTATCAAATTATAATATTATTTAAATATAGTGTCAAATTTGGCATAAATTATAAAAATTAGCAAAATCTGGCTCAAAAAAAAAATATAGCATTTTCATTTAATATTTTGTAAATGAAATAAAATAAAAAACATTTTTACTATTAAAATAAGATTGTCAAATCATGATATTTTAATATTGTAGCATTAAAAAAAATAATTTGACAATGTTATTTTAACATCAATAATTAGAGATTCTCTCATATTATTTTTATTTTAGATGCGGTACTTTGTATCATTATTATAAGGGCAAATTACATATACACCCCTCGAGGTTTGGCTAAATTACAGATACCATCCTGAGGTTTTGGAAATTACATCCCGCCCCCTGAGGTTTGTATTTTCATAACAATTTGCCCCCTGAGGTTTATATTTCATAACAAATAATCCCCTAATTTCTTATGCAAATATAGTATTCAGGGGGGAATTCGTAATTTCTCAAACCTCGGGGGGCATCTGTAATTTGGCCAAACCTCGAGGGGTGTATATGTAATTTGCCCTTATTATAAATTAGTTTATGTACTGTTCATCAGAAAAACATTATTATATTGATGTGTATGAAGGGTGAATTTGCAAAGTGCAACCGAGGTAGAAGCCATCATTAGATAACAATTTGAGTGGGTGACCAATCATAACTCCTTAATCATAGATTTACTTTGTTTTATTTTTTAAAACAAGATTATCAATTGGCTGGTGATGAGCTAAGCTAGGGAAGGCTAAACTTCGGAATTTTTTTTTTCTTTTATTTATTTAGATATATTGGCACCAAATAAGATTTTTACTGCATAATGTCGCATCTAAAAATAAAGAAACAAACAGGTTAATGAATAAGCATAATCTTTTGATTGATGATGAATTTCCAGTTTCGTAAAGATGCATATTTTCATTAATTGGAAGTCATTAAAATCTCGTTTCGGATAAATTTTATCAAATTAAAAATAAATAATCTAAATGCAAAAAAATATTTTTTAATGATTTGATAACTCTAATTGCTTTCTTTCTCTTTTTGTTTTCTCTTTGAAATCTATTCGGTGAGGAAAAGAACGTAGTGCTTCTAACATTTCTCTTCCCTTTATTTCTTTTGCGAGGATTTTTTTGTTTTTTTGTTCATCATCATATTAGTTGTTATCGTTCCTTCCATCTCCATTATCGACTGCCACCAAAGAAACTTCCAAATCCAAAGTTAGATCTAACTTATGATTGAGATTTGCTAAACGTGTTTTTGTACGTTTGGTAACCATTTCAGATCTAGAATGATTTATTTTGTAACGTAGAAGTAGAAATTATGAAACAATTATTGATTGCGATAATAAATAGATTGTGAATGTGTTTGTTGGCCTTTATTTAGTGATGAAATTTTGTTTTTTGTTACCGTAATCCTTCTTTACGCCAAGGATTTCACCTCCTCAATTAGAGATTTGTTATTCTCCCTCCATGAAAGCTTTCCTTATCCCTTTTAGGATCCATCTTTGTATTTCAATGTATTTTATTGGACAACTTATTTCCGTGTACAATGTATTAAGCTACGTATTTTTTGATGATTTTTTTAATAACTAATTCCTTTTTTTAGTTTATTTAATTTTTTTTTCCTTAAGTTGTGAGTTGTAAGTATAAATTACTTTTATTCTCCAAAATTAATTAAATTTCACTTTAATTCTAGATATTTCAACTTTCACCTAAATTTTAAACTGTATAAGAAAACTAAATTAAAGATTAGTTTGAGAATGAACTTTTTAATGATTTTCAATTTTTACGAAAAATGTATAAAAAAGTAAATAGAATAAGTTCATTTCTTTTACTTATAAATAGAAATGAGCAATGCTAGCATTGAATAATTTCTTGTTACAAGCAGGTTCGTTTGCAATTAGTTATTTTAGTCTGTGATTAAAAAGTTTCGTATGTGATATATTTTTTAATTTTTTAACTTTTGTGAAAAAAAAGATTATAATTATGATTTTAATATGATATTTTAATTTATTAAATTAAAAAACTTATTTTAACATTGTGTAATTATTTTAATCAAAAAATTTTGTTTAACTTATGCGAAACGAGTGCATAGTCTGAAATACAAATTAAAGTAAGAAATAAAGTGAACTACAAGTCAAAATTAAACGTAAGAAATGTGGTTTATCCAAACACTTTTATTGTTATTATTATTTAATAATATTAAAAACTAGGGGTGAGCAGCGGATATATCGATCCGCCAAAACCGACCGAACCGAATCAATCCGCCGCATTTTGGACGAATGCGTGATGACGAGCGGACGGTTACGGATTGATTTTCTCCAATCCGCCAATTTGGCGGACGGATGGCGGATTTAAAGTTCCTTTGGCCGCAACCGAACCGCCAAACCGCGAGCACCTTTAGTAATTTAA